CTAGTTCGTTTCTCCAGCCATTGATAAAATAAGTCCCAAGTTTGAAAATATTCTGTTTCTTCTTTTTCTTTCAACCTCAGAGTAAGTCTGTCCATTTCCACACAGTCTAGTATTTTTTGAATTATTTCTTCCTCTGATGGTATTTCTTCATTTTTCCAATATTGTGCAAATATAATTCTTGCCGCTGTTGTCACATGCAAAATCAAATATACACTTTGTTTATCAAGCTTTTCTGGCATTATACCTAATAAAAAAAGTTCAGGTTTAAAATTTACATGTTTTCCCAACATCTTTTCTAGCCAAGTATGTATTTTTGTCCAGTATCTCTTTGCTTTTACACATGTCCACCACACATGATAATAAGTACCTGATTTATAATTACATTTCCAACATTTATCTGACATATTTTTAAACATTTTTGCTAATCTTACTGGTGGTAAGTGCCATCTATAAAACATTTTGTACAGATTTTCTTTATAAGAGGTTGACGTCAATTTATAATTTCTTTCCCACAGGCTTTGCCATTTCTCTAAATCTATATTGTATTCAAAGTTCTTTACCCATGTTATCATTGTTTCTTTTACTTGTTCATCTTCCATTTTCAAATTTAATAAAAATTTATACGTTTTCTTAATTAGTTTTTCATTAGAGGTTAGTAATATCTGATCAAACAGAATCTGCTCTTTATCATATCTCACTTCCATTTGTAAATGTGACCACCATGATAGATCAATACCCTGATTTTCCATCTCTTGTGTAGATTTTAAGTTCCCTTCAGAATCGAGAATATCTTTATATGTCCATATTTTCTCAAGACTGACTAGATTTGGATGTACGAATGCTTCCATTGTTGAGAGCCATCCTGGAATTTTCAAATATATTTTACATTTTATTTTCCCCCATGTTAATAATAATGCATTTCTAATATAGTGGTTTTGAAAATATTTATGAATTTTATTTTTCCCATACCATAAGAAAGCATGCCAACCGAGTTGTAAGTCATGTCCCTCCAAATACAACAATCTTTTATTTCTGAGGGTTATCCATTCTTTTACTCATATTAGTACTGATGCTTGATAATATAAAACCCACTCTGGCAAACCAAACCCTCCATTTCCCTTAGCTTCTTGTAACGTTTTCAATTTAATTCTAGCTTTCTTTCCTTGCCAAAGAAATTTTTGAATTAGAGAATTTAAGTCTTCAAAGAATTTTTTATCTAGTTTTATAGATATCGTTTGGAATAAAAACAGTATTTTTGGTAATATATTCATTTTTACCATAGCGATTCTTCCTAACATCGACAGTTGCAGATTTTTCCATTTTTCCAAGTCACATTTTATTTGGTTTAGTAGTTTTATATAGTTATCTTCTTTTATCATTGAACATCTTGCTGTCAGGTTTATTCTCAAGTATTTAACCTTTTTAACTATTTGTAATTCTATTTTTTCTGACAATTGTTTTTTTTGTTTATCTGTAAGATTTTTAACTATCACTTTAGTTTTTTCTCTATTTATCTTCAGTCCTGCTATCTCTCCAAACTGTTCTCTTTTCCAATAATTTAGGAATCATCTCTAAAGGTTCCACTAGGATAAATACCAAGTCATCTGCAAATGCTTGCAATTTATAAGTTTCACCTTTTATTTCCAGTCCTTTAATTTCTGAATCCTGTCTAACAATGGGGATAGTGGACATCCTTGTCTTGTGCCTTTTCTTATATTGAAATTCTCTGTATAATCTCCATTTACAATCACTTTTGCTGTTTGTTTATGATATATTGTCTTAGTCATATTTACAAAATTTTGTCCAAAATCCATTGTTTTTAGTTGTTGAATTGCCAAGAAACATTATCAAATGCCTTTTGGGCATCTAGAAATACTAATGCCAGTTGTTTCCCTGGATGCATTTCATAATATTCCAATATGTCCATTATAACTCTTAAATTATTTTTTATTTGTCTCTTTGGTAGAAATCCATTTTGGTCTGAATGTATAAATTCAGTCAGAAATCTTTTCAGTCTCTCAGCTATTATTGAAATAAAGATTTTATAGTCCACATTTAATAATGATATTGGTCTGTAGTTTTTTATCTGTGTCAAATCTGAATCCTCTTTTGGTATCAGAGTAATATTTGCTTCTGTCCATGTGTTTGGGAGTTTGACCTCCAATAAGAGTTCATTACAGACATCTTTGAACGGTAAACTTAGAGTATCTTTTAGGCATTTGTAAAACTCTGCTGGGAGCCCATCTGGTCCTGGTGTTTTTTCATTTTTTTGTCTTTTTATAGCCTCTATCAATTCCATCATTGTTATTTTCTCATTTAACATAGACTTAAAGTTTTCTGGAATTTTTGGTAGGTTATTTCATAATATTCTTTAATTATCTTTTTTACTGCCTCATTTTTAAATTGTAGACAGCCTTTTTCATCTACTAAGTTGCTTATCAATTTTTTCTCCTGTTTTTTAAGTTTGTAAGGTAGGCATCTTCCTGGTTTATTTACATTTTCAAAAAAAATTGCTTTGCTCTTTTAATTTGTTGTGCCAATTTTTCTGATTCTATTAAATTTAATTTATGTTTTATTGTTTCCATTTGTCTTTTCAGTACTTTCTTTTGTGGATTTATTTGTAGTTCTAATTCTAATTTTTTAATTTCTTCCCTTAACAGCACACATTGTTGTCTTTTTTCTTTATTCTTTTTCACCATGTATGTTATAGCTATACCTCGAAAATATGCTTTGGCCGTGTCCCATACGTTTTGTAGTGTTATATCTTCTTTTTTATTTTCTTTGAAAAAAAATTCCATTTCTTTTGTTGCTAATTCTGTAAATTCTTTCTCTTTTAATATGGATTGGTTCAAAGTCCATCTTAATTTTTTCTGTATTCCTTTCCACGTCATTTTTAAAGGATTGTGGTCTGCCCAAGTGCCTAATTCTATCTCAATTTCCTGCATATTGATTCTTAGTTCAGGCGTCATCCAAATCATGTCAATTCTGGACCAAGATTTATGACTATTCGAGTAAAATGTATGTTGTAGTTTTTCTAAGTTTGTTTCTCTCCAAGTGTCTTGTACACCAATTTCCTCTATCATGTTGAAAAAAGTCTTAGGTAGTCTCTTTCTTCCTTGTTTTCCTGTTTTGCTACTTTTATAGTCTAGTGTCCCATCTATTGCGTTAAAATCCCCTACTAGGCAAATATTTTGATATTCCATTTCTACTATTTTTCTATGAAGTTTTTGATAAAATTCTTCTTGCTTATTGTTTGGTGCATATGTTGTTGTTAGTTGCGAAGTCATGTCCGACCCATCGCGACCCCATGGACAACGTTCCTCCAGGCCTTCCTGTCCTCTACCAACTTCTGGAGTCCATTTAAGTTCACGCCTACTGTGACTCCATCCAGCCACCTCATTCTCTGTCGTTCCCTTTTTCTATTGCCCTCAATCTTTCCCAGCATTAGGCTCTTCTCCAGTGAGTCCTTCCTTCTCATTACATGGCCAAAGTACTTGAGTTTCAACTTCAGGTAAGTTGCCCAGAGTACAGATTCATGAGATCTTCTTGAGTGAGTTAGATTCTGTGAATCTCAAGGATGTGGACACAATCCTCCAATCTATCAGTCTGGCCATCAGTCTATTACATCCCAGCCCCTTTGGGATTAGTAAGGTGGCCCAGGAGTGACCAGGGGCTGAGTCCATGCAGTGGTATCAGTTTCTTTGAGGGAAGGTAGAGGTACTGCTGGCTTTGAAGGAGGCATTGGTGCACCCATCCTCAAAAGGCCATTGCTGGACCCCTCCATTCTGAATAACTACCAGTCAGTTTCCAATCTTCCTTTTAGAGAAAATTGTGGCAAAGGTGGTCAGATGGCAGCTGCAGAGGACCTTGGAGGAAATGGATTATCTAGACCTGTTTCAGGTCGGGGTATAGTACTGTTGTACTTGTTGATGATCTCTGGCAAAGCTGGGATTGGAATGGTGCATCCATCCTTGTGCTCCTTGATCTCTCAGTGACTTGCAGTACCATATACCATGGTATCCTTCTGGACCAGCAACATGGGTTGAGATTGGGAAGGCACTGTGTTGCAGTGGATCACTCCTTCCTCAGTGGTTGGTTTCAGTTGGTGTTGGTGGGAGAGATCATGCCCAGGACCCCTCACTTGTTGGGTGCCTCAGGGCTTGACACACTCTCCCTTCCTCTTTAACATGTGCATGAAACCGCTGAGTGAGGTCATCCATAAGTTTGAGGTTCAGTATCATCAGTATATTGATGATACCCAGCTGTATATTTCAACCCTGGGTTATGCAGGTGAAGCTGCTGGTGTACTGGCCCAGTGTCTGGAAGCTCTCTGGGTTTAGATGGGGAGGAATAGATTTTGGCTCAATCCTGACAAGACTGAGTGGTTGTGGTTGTTTAACCCCCTGGAGAAGGGATGTTTCCATAATTGATCTCATGTTCCAGAGCTTGAGAACAGGACGGGAGAAGGTCTTCTGTTGCATGCCAGAAGCATGGGTCTTTGATAGCAGGCCAGTCTTCAAAAGGGTCTCCAGAGAATTGATCAGCTGGACAAGTTTGTAATGGAAAATAAGCTGTAACTCAGTAAGATCCATGGAGGGATGTAAAATCAATGTCAACATCATAAACAGTGCAACCAGCACATATCCTTCAGAACAGGCTTTATATAATTCCTATACTTTGCTGGCACCAGCTGCAACTTTTGGATACTTTTTATGGGTAGCCCCAGTACACATTTCAACAGTCAATTCAGAATGTGACCAAAAACATCAGGCCACAAGCAATCAGCATTTGAGTTTCCAGCACCTTATCTTCTCCCGGTAACCCAGAAAAACATCCAAAAACAAAAGCAACATCAAAGAGACATCAAGATGTAGTTGCTAGAAGTGGGGGTGGGTGTTGGATGAAGAAGACAAACATAAAGCAGATTGAAGGAATTTATCACTGTACTCAGAAACTGACACACATCACAAACAATGTAAGAAAAAAACCCTGTTTTTTACCTGTTTGTGAGCATGGTCATAGGAATTTATATGGTTGTCAAACTCCTGGTGTTTCTGATACTGCTTGTCACAGAGCTCACAGTAAAAATTGGCTCTAAGGTCTTCAAGTGCCTTGGCAATTGCCTTTTCTTTGTCCACATAATCCTGCAATAGCAAAAGGAGATAAAAAATGACCAGGGAAGGCTTTCATTAAAACATTTAGCTTCCTGGTGCAGGGTCTCAGGTTGCACACAGCTCCTGCACTCATTTTTGTACCTCTAGAATAATTTTTAGCATGCTTTCAAATTTCAGTGGTGCAATTGCAGAAAATTGATGAAGCAGTTTCCCATTGTTTCAAGAAAGAATCCACACAAAAAAAAGTTTTGTAGGCCTTAAGAAGTATGGTGTGACTTCTTACTTTACTTCATTAACCCCACCCACTAAAGATTACTACTCATACAAAAATATTAAATGTAAATCCCAGTTACCAGTCTACTTAGCTCACTGCTGAAATAACAAACATTAAACTTTGTTAAAATGTATTTGATAGTAGTTCAGAGTACTTACAACCTATATTAGATCATTAACAAAGTAAGCATTTTGGAGGGGAAACTATAGAAGATTGATGTTAGCAGTGAGACTTGTACAGATGGTGACGGAGAAGAAAGTAACTGGATAAAATGCTCCTTACAGGATTCAAAGGAATGTCATCTGGGTTTAGCTAGAGAGTACAAAAAAAGGGTCTAAGACAACGCACTGCAGCCAGGTTGATGTGGAGGCATGGATGACTGGGTGCAGACAGGTGGTGTGGATGGGTGGGCGCGGATGGGTTGGCACAGAACAAGTTGCCCCAGCCAACTGGACGTGGGGAGAACTCAATGCCTCACCAGGTCCTCACCTCCCCAAACTGCTGGCAGTCAAGCATGGAGCTGGGCAGTGCTCCCTCAAAGGGAGAGAAATCTGCGAACCCTCCTGGAGCCCAGCAGTGGTTGATCCACCACCCCTGAGACAATTTCCCTGTCGCTCTCTTCCTCCTCTTCCTCCAGCTGGACTGGAGGCTGTGAAGATCTGGATGGGGAGGAACCAGCTCCACCTCAACCCTGACTAAAGGGAGGTTTCAGCCCACCTGGATCTCGAGAGCTGTCATGCTTTATATCTTTCCCCAAGGGAGACAAAACCTCACCTTCTCCAGATCTCGCTGTCTATAGTTGTGGGAATGAAGAACTGAGCTTTCTCCATCATCCCCCTGCAACTTCCAAATAAACAGAAGATCCAGGTGGGGGGTGGGGGGATGCGTGAGCTACTTGGCCTCAGCCCAACAGCCATTGCGAAATGCAGTGGCAGAAAGTGAGTTTTTCTGGCCTTGGAGGGCAGTGCCCCTCACCTGCCCCTTCATTGGCTTGTCAGCAAGTGGCTGCCAGGCAGAAGGACCACAGCCCTAGGCCTGCTGGGTTGGACAAAAACCGTAGGAGTGACTTATGGGGTGCAAAGAAAGTCGGGGGTCCTTTCAGGTCATTTTTGGGGGGGAGAGTTTGAAAGTGCTCAAATCCCCAGCTGCATTAAAAGCTCCACGATGATGCCGGCGCTGTTGTAACCTTATATGGATGCAGGCAAAAAAGAGGGGGGGATTTTGACACCTTCCCCCCCAGGGCTGAGAGAAGATTTGCTTCCCTCCTGCCATCCTCCCCCCTTCTGAGAATTGCAACTTTGCACTGCCGCTGTGAGTTGTCCCATTCCAGTGATAGAAACCCCCTTAAGAATAGTTTTCCAATATGGGGAGGGAGACCCCGCCCCTTCTCTTCCCCCCCAATGCTCAAATCCACTGTGACTCATTGATTTCTGTGGAATTTCATCCCACTTGGAAATGTCCTGCCCCCACCTCCATCCCTTTGATCTCAACTTTGGGGTGTCCTCGGTGTCCCCCATCCCTGGTGACACAGATTCACCTCCTTAAGGCTTCACCTGTGTGTGTGTGTGTGTGTGTGTGCGCGCGCGCGCATTGCCCAATATATGTATATTCACAATGGGTTTCTATTCTATGGGGTGATTTCTACTTGCAATGGTATGCCTGCTGAATCCCCAGATTGGTGCAAAAACATTCTCAACTTGTGCATATCTCTCTTCTCCTTGGGAGGGGAGGCCCTGCCCCAACCCCACATGCTCCTGAAAAGAGGAGCCTTTGATAAGATGAGATGAGGTGAGGTGGGATGAGGTGAGGTGAGGTGAGGTGAGGAGAGGAGAGGAGATATGAGATAAGATACCCTTTATTGTCATTTTTTACTGTGGGCACAACGACACACATCAAAAATGAAATTTAGTTGCCCGCTCTCAAAGTGAACACATACCCAGCTGCACGCACCCAGTTGCGCCCTGGCCACCTGGCTGCGGCAAGTCATTCACGCAGTCATCTGTGCTGACCTGGCCACACCCACCCAGTCACGCCCACCCATCTGTGCCAACCTGGCTGCTGTGAGTCATCCCATTCTGAAAAAAAAGTCCCAAGGAAAATTGTATACAAACAAGGAGTAGTTTGATTTTAACCCAATGTGATTTCTTACTTTCTCTCTCTTTTGGTTCCTATATAAGAGAACTTTATTTGTGATCTCCAGAAATCGTGTTACCAAAATTTGGCATCAAACTACCAAAGGTACAATTTCAAACTGTTTCGGAAGGAAAACATTGACAACAAAAATGTGTGAATGTTTTCTGTTAGACTTTAACACACCTAAAGCCCCAAATCCATGGCAACCCCTTCAAGAAATTATACTCCACCCATTTTTATAATGTCACCATGTTATTAACCAAACATAAAATTAAAACAATGTATCCTATGTTGCAAGTTTGCCTGTTCCTACACTAGGTGGTCCAGACATCTCGTTAGATCAGGGCTTTTCAACCTTTTCACCCATTGTACCACTTTTAGGATATGGCAATATTTGAGTACCACCTAGCAAGGTGTCAAAATCTTGATGACCAAAAAAACAAAACCTGTTCAAAGTTGCAATTGCACTGAAATGACTTATGACCATTTTTCACACTTATGACCATTGCAGCATGCCCAGGGTCATGTGATTTATATTTGGATGCTTGGCAACTGATTCATATTTATGATGGTCACAGTGTCCCAGGGTCATGTGATCCCCTTCTGCAACCTTTTGACAAGCAAAGTCAATGGCAGGGCTGCTGGTGGCCAAGTGCTAAGGCGGGACTTCCCTCCCTCCCTGCCTCCTTCTTTCTCATTCCCATTTCCTTCTGAAGGAAGAATTTGAAAACCCCCCCCATATTTTTTCTCTTCCATATATTCATCAAACAAGGAAAAGCCTCCAGAGACAGAAAAGACAAGCTGCTGAGTGAACTAGCTTAAAAAGGCACATTCCCCTTTAAGAATTAGCTACTGGCTAGAAAGGAAAGTAAGGAGCGGAGCCGGCACTTAAGGAAGAAAAAAAATGTAGTAAGTATTGGCTGCCGGCTAAGGCAGCCTCCCCAAATGGCTCCATTCATAAGTAAAGGAATGCTACAGGCAAAATCCATTCAGGAGAAAAATACTTCAAAATCCCTTGCAGCAAAACTTACAGCTAACAGTAGCAGAGCAATAGAAGCTAACATGAGACATCAGCCATCAGCCAAATAGAAATTGTCAAACACTCCTTAAGAACACAAAGCCCACATTGCACAAATCCCAGAACTTCAAAGTCACAAAAGCACATAAGAATCCTTCCACTCTCCATCTCCCTCCACCCCCTCACCTCCAGCCATTGCTGCCTTTTTTCATTCCTCTTGGAGGGTGACGCCTCCCCCACTGCATTTCTTGCCTGTTTGCTGCTGCCAGCACAGGTGGCTGCCACAGCAGTTGTAGATCGGCTCATGGCCGGCCTGCTTGATCTCCTCTCCCCCCACCCTCCTCCTCCTCCTTCTTCTTTCCCTTCGGTGTAGCTAGAGCTGACTCCACCTCCTCCCAAGTCTGCTTCTTTTTCTCTCTCTCCCCCTCTCCTGCCCAAACTGCCTCCTTTTATAGCCTCCCCTGTCTTCTCCACCCCTCCTCCTCCTCCTTTCTCATGGGGGAGGGTGAGCCAGAAGTGAGCCTGGGGCCTTTGCCTCAGCCAATCTGCAGCTCCAGAGGACTCTCTCACAGTAAGTCCTTGCCTGTGCTGGCTCTTTCCCTCCCCCACTATACTTGGCTAGGCAGGGCTGCGTACCACTTGCCACTCATTAATGTACCACAAGTGGTATGCGTACCACCGGTTGAAAAGCCCTGCGCTAGATGACAGGATCTTTCTTAGGCATCCCTGATTTATAAATCTATATCCTACATAATATTAAATAAGTCTACACTGAGATGCTTTAGATCAGGGCTTTTCAACCGGTGGTATTAGCACATGGCAGGTGGTACGCAGCCCTGCTCAGCCAAGTGTAGTGGGGGAGGGAACGAGCCAGCGCAGGGCAGGACTTACTGTGAGAGAGTCCTCCGGAGCTGCAGAGTTGCTGGGGCGAGGCAAAGGTCTCAGGATTGGCACTTCCGGCTCACCCAGAAGAGAAAGGAGGAGGAGGGGGACGGAGACAGGAGAGGCTATAAAAGGAGGCAGTTTGGGTGGGAGAGGGAGAGAGGGAAAAAAAGAGGCAGCCTTGGGAGGAGGCGGAGTCAGCTCTAGTTGCACGGAAGGGAAAGAAGAAGGAGGAGGGTGGGGGGAGAGGAAAGGAGATCAAGCAGGCCAGCCATGAGCCGATCTACAACTTCTGTGGCAGCCATCCATGCTGGCAGCAACAAACAGGCAAGAAACGCAGCAGGGGAGGGGTCACCCTCCACGAGGAATGAAGAAAGGCAGCAATGAAGAAAGGAAGCATCGGTTGGAGGTGAGGCACGGAGGGAGGGAGGGAGATGGAGAGTGGAAGGATTCTTATGTGCTTTTGTGACTTTTTTTTTAAACAAAATTTTATTTATAATACAATTAAAAAAAAACATTGGATATAACGTGACATTCCAGTATATACATTCTTATCAAATTATTCCACATTTTACAATCGATTCTTCATTTCTGAATATACATCTAAATTTTATATACAATACCTATTCTAAAATTACATATATTTCTATCTTAACGCTAGCCTATAATCCCAACCGTCCTCCTCAAATCCCTCCAGCGGTAAAATTTATCCCAGGTTTCGAAATAAACTGATCTACATTTGTCTTTCAATACCATTGTGAGCCTGTCCATTTCCGCACATGATAATATTTTATATAGTGTCTCTTCCTCTGTGGGAATTTCTTTGTTCTTCCATTTTTGTGCGAACGCAAGCCTAGCTGCAGTCAAGACATGCAACAGCAAATAGATTGTTCCCTTATTGTATTTCTCTGTAGTTATTCCCAACAGGAAAAGTTCGGGTTTTAACTCTAAGTCCAACATTAATATATCTTTCAGCCATCTTCGTATCCTATTCCAATACTCACAGGCCTTTGGGCATTCCCACCACATGTGATAATATGATCCTATTGCTGTTTTACATTTCCAGCATAAAGGTGAGATATTTGGACCCATTTTGGCTAACCTTACGGGTGGGAAGTGCCATCTATAAAACATCTTGTAGAGATTTTCCTTGTACGAGGTAGCTAGAGTGAGTTTCCTATTTCTTTCCCACAGTTCTTGCCGAATATGCAGATCGATACTGAAACCAAAATCCCTACTCCAAATTAGCATAGTCTCCTTGACCTGTTCTTCATACATTGCCTGATCTAAAAGAAAGTGATATATTTTTTTAATCATTTTATCCTCGGGCCCTAATAATATTTTGTCTAGTTCTGTCGGTTCTATTTTTATACCCCACTCTTTTTTGTCTTTCCTAAATCTTGCTTATAGTGGGAGGTATGCCCACCATTCTAATTCTATCCCTGCATCTTGAAGATTTTTCCTCGATTTTAATTCTCCTCCCTCGTCTAATATGTTTTTATAAGTTATTACTTTCCCTAACTGGATAAATCTTGAGTGTATATACATTTGTAATGTTGAAATCCAATTGGGAACTTGCCTATAATTCTGTTGCCAGAATGAAGAAAGGCAGCAATGAAGAAAGGAAGCATCGGTTGGAGGTGAGGCACGGAGGGAGGGAGGGAGGGAGATGGAGAGTGGAAGGATTCTTATGTGCTTTTGTGACTTTGAAGTTCTGGGATTTGTGCAATGTGGGCTTTGTGTTCTTAAGGAGTGTTTGGCAATTTCTATTTGGCTGATGGCTGATGTCTCATGTTAGCTTCTATTGGTCTGCTACTGTTAGCTGTAAGTTTTGCTGCAAGGGATTTTGAAGTATTTTTCTCCTGAATGGATTTTGCCTATAGCATTCCTTTACTTATGAATGGAGCCATTTGGGGAGGCTGCCTTAGCCGGCAGCCAATACTTACTACATTTTTTTTTCTTCCTTAAGTGCTGGCTCCTTAACTTTCCTTTCTAGCCAGTAGCTAATTCTTAAAGGGGAATGCGCCTTTTTAAGCTAGTTCCCTCAGCGGCTTGTCTTTTCTGTCTCTGGAGGCTTCTCCTTGTTTGATGAATATATGGAAGAGAAAAAATATGGTGTTTTTTTTCAAATTCTTCCTTCAGAAGGAGATGGGAATGAGAAAGAGGGAGGCAGAGAAGGAGGCAGGGAGGGAAGGAAGTCCCGCTTTAGCACTTGGCCACCAGCAGCCCTGCCATTGACTTTGCTTGTCAAAAGGTTGCAGAAGGGGATCACATGACCCTGGGACACTGTGAATCAGTTGCCAAGCATCCAAATATAAATCACATGACCCTGGGCATGCTGCAATGGTCATAAGTGTGAAAAATGGTCGTAAGTCATTTCTGTGCAATTGCAACTTTGAACAGGTTTTGTTTTTTTGGTCATCAAGTTTCTGACACCTTGCTAGGTGGTACTCAAATATTTCCATATCCTAAAAGTGGTACAATCGGTGAAAAGGTTGAAAAGCCCTGCTTTAGATGAGGATAGACTATCATGCAATGGAAAATTCTCCACGATTCTTTAACTAGCCCAGCAGAAAGTACCTTGTACTTTTGCCTTAGTTCTTCAGTATCTTCTTTCTCCACTTCCAAGACCCGCCTCCTTTCTGTGGCATCTTCAGCATAATCAAGCTATCAGCCAAAGCAAAGACAAATCAGGTAGTGATACACATTGGGCATTAACATTTAGTGAGCAAGAAATATTCATAAATAGTAACACATCTTATTCTCTCAAACATTGTCCAACTTGTCTGCAAACAGAAAACAAAATGTGCAATAATGTACTAATCTACTCATGCTAAAAACCTCTAGAGGAAACATTTTATTTCAAGAAAATTTGATCTATTTTGGAGCCCCAAAAGAAGAGGGATTTTTTGCAGTGAAAAATCGAACTTTCCCCAAAAGAAAAAATATGTATAGTACATGCCATTGAAACATATTTTCAAGGTCTGTGTAACAGAGAGGAAAGTGCCATGGGCAGAATCCAAAACCAGCACTGGATTCTGCTCAACCTTTTTTTTCTTTAGTTTACCAGCAATTTCAACAAGTTTTGTTTTGAGAAAACAACCCTACGTACAGTTGCGGACCTGCGCCTTTTTCGCCGAGCCCTGAAGGCCCATCTATTCCGTGCGGCCGGCCTGGCGTAGCTTGATTATGTTTCAGTGGGGGTTTTTTTACGGGTGTGTTTTTAGAACAGGCCCGTTATTTAATTCGATTTTAAAACAAACTATTTATTACCGTGGTTTTTAGTATCGCCTGTTCACCGCCCTGAGTCCCGCAAGGGAGATAGGGCGGTATATAAATTTAATAAATAAATAAATAAATAAATAAACCCTGCTCTTTGTAAACAAGTTGTGATTTACAGTAATAAACTTCTCATATCCTCCTTAATCATTTCTCTGTATTTTAAAAAATAGGGCTGTGCAAATTATTCAGAGAGGTGTTGAAGTGTGAAAGCTCCATGTCCCCTCAAAGATTTTCTGTAGGCATTTCAACAACATCCCCATACCATCTAGTTCAGCATGGGGTTTTCGGAGTGCTTCAGGCACATGCAGACATGCTGAGATAACATGAAGAAGTCTTTGCACAGGTGACATCAACCCTTAGAGCAGGGGTGTCAAACTGCCGGCCCATGGGCCGGTTTCATCATACCGAAGCCGCGCCCACCCCATTGCTGGCAATGAAAAAAGAGTCGTGACACGTCACGTGATGAGTTTGACACCCATGCCTTAGAGGGAGCACAATCTTTTGAAGAGTAGTTCAGAGGCCCTTCAGCTGCTTCATGGAATGCTCTTCCAAATGTTTTGCACAGCCCTGTTTAAAAAGCCCTACTGTTGTCTATGAATACAGTCACTTCGATTTTCAGATAATTTATGTTACACAGTAATTTAGAAGATTCTTTTAAAAGTGCATCTATTACAGACTGTGTCACATTTCTGATGGATAGCTAAAGGCAGGGATTCTTTGTGTGGGAACCAGAAGCACTCTTTTCTGATCTTATGCTAGGATATCTGGCTCCATATCTGAAGAACAGACACTACCATTCCAGTGTGCCTAATAAGTAAAACTTGCTGCATTCTTCAGACATTATGTTACATACAGTGTATTACTTCTGAGTGTGTCTCCATGGCATTGAGCTGAGCAAACCTCTTCATAGCAAAAAACAAACAAAAGACAAGTTGGTATACAGGAGCCGCACAGGGCCCAACCAATTTTTAAAATGTGCTTATATTAATTAAATGAGCTTTAATTGGAAATTAGATTTGTTAATTGAAGCCTATTATACATGTATATTATATTGAAGCACTATCATTTCTTTGACTACAAGATCCTTCCCCACTGATGCCCTGTGTGTGTTGGATTATAGCACTCATAATTTTGGAGGCTGGATGATGAAAACTGTAGTCCAAAAGCACATCAGTTTGAGAAATATTCTGGTAAAATACAGATACTTAATCTTGCCTGGTACAAAGTGTATGTTGCGGGGCCACTTACCTCCAATTCCATCCGACCCATGCCCATGACATCATATTTGACAACGATAGGGATGGGATCTGTTCTACCTGCAAGGGAATCAGACCTATCAGGTGAGTGATTAGGACAGAATAATTATCCTCTGGTAAGTTGCTTTGTACACAATGGTTTGGGGTTGGTTAGAGATATTGCCTTTGGAATGCAGAGACTAGAAAGCTACAGAGAACCAAACACAAGCCATTCTCACAGCTCACAATCATAAGCCTACACATCTTGGTTGCCAAACATAGCCTTGTTTTCTTTTTGTTGCCTCCAACTTTTGCCCCAAATATTTGAACAACTTAATACTAAAATTAATGATCCTTATACTAGTTGATCAAAATATTTGAGGAATGGGAAAGAAGCACTCTCTCAGATCACAGGACACAGAATTAGGAGGCAAATGTAATGCTGGGTGTTTCTGAACAATCTTGAAATTACATTTAATAAAATGCAAGCACGAATGCCCAGCAACACCTATTTAGCATGCAATTATTTCAGAAGTGTGAAATATTAGGTATTAAGACCTTGCTAGAGCCAAAATGGGCTTTTTGAATCCTGGCATATCCTTTCCTTGTAAGCTGTGAAAAGGACTAGTTGTGAAGAAAACTTACTTTGAACTAATCAAAATATGCTGAAGATTCCATATGTGGGGTCCCACAGGGGTCGGTCCTCTCTCCACTTCTGTTCAATATTTATGTGAAGCCGCTGGGGGAGATCATCCGTGGCTTCGGGGTGGATTTCCATCAGTACGCTGACGACACTCAGCTGTACATATCCACCCCGGGCCACCCCAACGATGCCCTTGACGTGATGGCCCGATGCCTGGAGGCCGTGAGGGTCTGGA